AGGAGGGTGGAGGGAGGAGGGTGGAGGGAGGAGGGTGGAGGGAGAAGTAAGGAGGGAGGAGGGAGGAGGGTGGAGGGAGGAGGGTGGAGGGTGAAGGGAGGAGGGTGGAAGGAGGAGGAAGGAGGGTGGAGGGTGGAGGGAGGAGGGAGACATACCTGGGTAGCTTGCAGTCGCAGCAGTCACAGGCTCTACACGCCGTCCTCAGCATGACGCAGGGGGCGGGGCCTCCCCCGCCTCTGGCCCCTCCCCCCGACACGTCCGGACACAGGCTGTAGGAGGAGATGGTGCAGGAGGAGGAGGAGGAGTGACAGGACGAGGAGTGCAGCTCTCTCATACGCCAGCGACCTGTCGTCATCATCGTCACGGCGACGACAGCTGCAGCAGCCACACCTGTACAAGGTAAGCAGGTAGCAGACAGGCAGGGGTGGGATGGCTGAGCGGGCGTGGCATGCACCGGAGGGGGGAGGGGGAGAGGGCAGCCGCAAAGACGCACCAAAACGCACGCGCGCACGCACAAGTACACACACGCGTACATGCACGAACGAACGCATGCATGAACACACACGCATGAATGAACACACGCACGCACGAACACACAAGCATGAATGAAAACACACGCACGAACACACACACACGAACACACATGCATGAATGAAAACACACGCACGAACACACACACACGAACACACATGCATGAATGAAAACACAAGCATGAACACACACACACGAACACACATGCATGAATGAACACACAAGCATGAATTAACACACACATGAATGAACACACACACACACACAAACACACACACATGAATGAACGAACACACACGCACGAACACACGCATGAATGAACACACGCACGCACAAACACACACGCATGAATGAACGAACACACACGCACGAACACACGCATGAATGAACACACACGCATGAATGAACACACACGCATGCATGAACACACGCACGCACAAACACACACGCATGAATGAACACGCGCACGCATGAATGTACGTGTGTACGCTGTCGTAACCTTGACAACGGGGAGACGTTGAATAGCCGGGCGGGCAGAACACTGGCAAAAATGTACGCTAATAACAAACGATGCACGAGTAATTATAATACTCACGCAATATACGTCGGATGTCTCTCTCGCTCGCTCTCTCTCTCGCTAGCTTGTTACCGCGCTCACGTCTGCATTCCTTCCTCGCCACAGATTCCGCTGTTTGTCGTTCGTCTGCGGCCCTTCCTGCTGGCGAAAACAATAAACGTCATGACAGGAGTAGAAATTAACCTTTGAACACGGGAGCCTTACCCTCAAAAAGAGGGAGTCCGCAGCAAAACGACAAAGTCCGCAGTCTGAGCTTCAAAATTAAAGATATTAACAATATATAAGATTAATTTTATTCATAATTTTTTTAAGATTCATGCGGTTGCACATCGGCCAAATTTTCTTTGAACGTTAGCTGAAAAAATATGGTAATTCCGCGAGGCCGAGCTCTGGAACAAACTAGTTAGTATAGCAACATTTTCAGGGAGTCTGTGTGACTCCTGCATATGTGAAATCAAGGATTCCGACATTAAATCAGGGAGTTTTTGTATCCGGACTCGCGTTAATTCTGCACCTTGTCATGACGATGCTTCGCAGGTGAGAGCAGACGTTATCAGCAGCATCGGAGATTACCTGCGCATGATCACGAGCGGCAGGTGGGTAGGTGGTGGGGGGGCGGTGCTTAGTTACCTTAATTACATTACATAATTAACGTTAGCCGATGACGCGCGATTAGAAATGCAGATGAAGCAATCATCTCGTGCGGGGAAAACTTTTCATGTACATTTTTCACGAGCATGGGATTAGAGAGCTCTGTTCTTTTGTTAACTTGCAGCCATTCGTGATGATGGTGGTGACCTCGGAGGGTCGATCACAGCGAATGATGTCACCAAGCTTGTAGTTATCTTACGAACATTACAGATCATACTACATCATAGATGACGACATTGTAAGACGTCGTCAACCCTGTCACATTGTCAACCGTCATGTTGTCACGGAGTCAATTGTCAACTGTGAATGACAACTGTCACATCACACACACAACACTGTCAACTGTCAGCATACATTGTGATGTCATCATGCATTCATTGTCACATGCTATAGAGTATCACTACATGGCACTACACAATGATACAATGCACTGCACATTGTTTCATGTCATTGTATGTACATTGTTACGTGTGGCCGTACATTGTTACGTGTGGCCGTACATTGTTACATGTCATTGTAGTGTACATTGCTACGTGTCATTGTATAATGTTACATACAACATAAAACAATTACACACTGTGACATGTCATTGTTCATTGTACATTATTACATGTTACTGACAAGACCAGCAAGCATTTAATAAAACAGTTGACATTAATTCCCTGATTATCACTATCGGTACTGGTTACAAAAAGTCGCAAGGAGTAGCACGAATGGCACAGCACAGACTAGATTCACTACCACTTCTATGTGCGCTGGCTATTCCCCTATTACCGTGCACATTTACATTGTAGTCCAGTGAAATAAACTATTATTTCAACCCCCTAGGCTACCACGCAACAAACTAGTTTTTGCAAGTTACTACTTTAATATTATTAAATGTGTATGCCATTATGTAATCATGCTTGTTTATGCACTGCTGCAGCGTAAGCTCTAGCCTTGTCACGCACGCACGATTGCATAATTCTCTCAATCAGGGCATGAGGAGGGGGAGGGGGGACATATTATTTATAAAGTTATTAGCAAACCTGCTCCACCAACACCCACACCCCACCCAGAGGGGGCGACGGTGACCTCACGCTTGCACGCTGCATTCCTCGGGCAATGCGAACGGCAATTTAATGATTTTTCGATGAAGACGGGGGGGGGGGGGGGATGCAGTGTGCGTACTCGGTAGGTAAATTACCCGCGCATTAATTCGTGCATGCAAATTTACTGCCGCTTCTGCTGCTGCATATGAATCCAGTAAAAACAGCATATATATATATATAGAAGGTGGAGGAGGAGAGGAGGTGGAGGAGGAGAGGAGGTGGAGGAGAGGGCTCAGAACGTCGGTGAGAAGGTGGTGGAGGAAGGAGGGGGGAGAAAGTGGAGGGAGAGGGACGAGAAAGGGGAGAATGGTGGGAGTGAGGAGAGATGGTAGGAGAGGAAAGAGAGGAAGTGGTGAGGAGGAGAACGTAGGGAGATATGTGGAGGAGTGGGGGAGAAGGTGAGGCAGAGAGGAGAGGAGCGGGATGAGGAGGAGGTAGAGGGCGGCATCTCCCTCCTTACGCTCTCCTCCTCCTCCATCACAGATTCTCGCATCTCCTCATTTAATTTTTCCTTTTCCTACCTCCTCAACCACACACGCCTGCACCTTCTCTACCTCCTCTAGCCTCCTCTCTCGCCTCCTCTACATGACCTCCTCCTCTCATTACCATTTCCCGTCGTCTTCTAACTACCTCTAAATGGTCCGGGTCGTAAATGTCCGTGGGTAAATGCGCCGGGGGTATTGTCTGGGGGGTGATTGTCGCGAGGGGTAAATGTTCCGGGGGGTAAAGTTTGTCTGGGGGTGATTGTAATGGGGGGAAATTGTCGGGGAAATGTCCGGAGGGTAAATGTGCCGCTTGGGTAAATGTCCGGGGGGGTGATGTCCGGGGGTAAATGTCCAGGGGGTAAATGTCCGGGTGGTAAATGTTTTGGGGGGATTTTCCGGGGGCTAATTGTCGCCGGGGGTAAATGTCGCGGGGAAATGTCGGGGGGTGTGATTGTCCCGGGTGGTAAATGTCCGGGCGGTAAATGGTCCGGGGTGGTGTTTGTCCAGGGGGTAATTTCGACGGGTAATTGTCCGGGAGAGTCACTGTCCGGGGCGGGGGGGGTAATTGTCCCCGGGGTAAATGCTCTCCAGGGGGTTTAAAGTGTCCGGGTGGTTAAAGTGTTCGGGGGGGATTTTTCGGGGTGGTAATTGTCGGGGGGTAATGTCTGGGCGGCAAATCAGTGCGGTGATTGTCGGCGGGGGGGTAAATGGCCGCGTGGGTAAATGTCCGGGGGGTGTTTGTCTGAGGTGGGTAATGGTCGGGGGGTATCTGTCCGGGGGGTGACTGCCAGGCGGTGTAATTGTCCGGCCTGGTAATTGTCTTGGGTTGGTAATTGTCCGAGGGAGTGAATGGCAATGGCGCGTAAATGTCCGGGGGGTGAATAGCATGGGGGTAATTGTCTGGAGGGCGATTGTCGGGGTATTTCAGATGGTTTGTCCAGGGGGTGCCAGTCCAGGGCTTGTTTTCGCGTGGTGAATGTGGCGATGGGGGGAATATTGGTCGGTGTGTGAGCTTTAGAATTTTGTGTCGCTGTTCGTTCATTCGTGATGTGTGTGTGTTTGTGGGCAAGTTGTTGTGCCGGGGGGTTTATTTGTGTTGGCTGTTCTTTTTCGAATGATGCTAGTTTATTGTTTTTACACATGAAAGGTGAAATTCACAATAGCTTGTGTGTTATTATGCAAATGTGTGTTCGTGTGTGTGTGTTCATGTGTGTTTTAATTCGCCTGTGTGTTGTGTGTGTGTGTTCGTGTGTGTGTTTTATTATGCCAATGTGTGTTGTTGTGTGTGGGTAGCGTTATGTTTACGTGCTGTGTATTATGTTTTCATAATTACGCAAAGTGTTTTGGGGAGTTGTTTGTGGTAGTCAGTTTGGCAGTGGCCAGTGAAGTGTTACGATTCTATGACGGTGACATGTGAATGATGTGATGAGGAGGAGGCAGGAATGATGAGGATGAAGGTTGCTATGAATGGATGACGATGAGGAGGAGGCAGGAATGATTGAGGATGATGGAGGAGGAGGCAGGAATGATGACGATGAGGAGGAGGCAGTAGATTGATGTGGATTGTAGCCAGAATGGCGAGTGTGTCGTAGGAATGATGACGTGATGTAATGATGAGATGTGT